AGGGTGCAAGTCTCCACTGTGTTGCATCTCCGGCCTCTGCGGGGTCATACCCCAGTTCCCCCACGTGTTGGCCTTACGTTGACTGAGTCATTTCTTCTGTGCACACTGCACTAGTGAGAACGAGTTCCCTGGCTTCAGTTTACTGCAAGGGGGACTCGTTGGGATCGATTCCACGGTTTTCTTGTTCCATTGGGATTGGCTTGTGTTTGTGGCAGAACAAGTAGCAGAGGAGGCTGCTCACATCTTGGGATGCCTCCAGGAAGAATATCACCATGTCATGGCTGTTTTGAGACGGAATGCACACCACCCTGGCCATGAACGCTTTACCCCTCTGCCTCAAGTTCTGGGATTGCAGGCATGCACCTTCCGTGCCGACCAGAAGTGTTTGAATGAGATCTGACAACAAGGAAGAGATCCGAGTGAAGAGTGCGGGAGAGGGGCAGCTTGGGTGGGCCTGCAGGGATGCTGTGTTTTTCTCTTTCCAGCGTTGTGTTCAGTTTAGTGGGTTGAAATCAGCCTCCCCGGGAGTATCTGCGCTGTGGAAATGTGCAACCAGGTTTTGTTTTGGATAACTGACCATTAAGCACTTACCAATCCCCTGCAGGAAGGAAAGAGAAGATAATTACGTAACTACCAGTGCCCATGCATTAGTATGCTAAATCCCAGATGTCTTAACACATTGAGTTCTCACAACAACCTGTACAGGAACAACACCAATATCATGGACAGAGAATGAGACTTAGAGGAAGAGAGTGAGTCTAGGAGGTAGGCACAATCATACTTGATTCTAGGTTTTTCTGGCTTTAAAACCTATGCCTCTTTCTCTGTATCACTGCCTGCAATGTTTGCCATTTTCCATCACTATAACACATAGTAGTACCTAAAGAAGAGACTTACTGGAAGCCGAAAGTCCAAACAGCATGGTCTTGGCCCTGCTAAAGGTTTAGTGGTAGCTAGCACCACCATAGTTGAATGCGTGCTTGAGAGAATGTGTGGGGGAGAAAGAGCCCACGGTGAGGTAGAAAGCCGGAGCGAGGGCTGTTTTATAGAAGCAGTCTTACAGACCAGAGTCTAGAGTATGGTTTGAGAATCTCTTAATATGTGGTCTTTTAGAAGTTCAAACCTCTGCATTTTACACAACCAGCTCAGAGGATCTTTAAGAAGGTAGATCACAGGTGCTCCTTAATTAGCTTTGACTGGTGAAGCTGAAGGGCTGGGGACTGGCAGAGGCACGGAGCTACATATAAGCTGGAAAAGCCAAAGACGGGAGAAATAGGGAAAGGCCTGTGTGGCCCAGACAAACACGACACAGTAAGCATAGAAAGCAAAGAACGGTGGGACAGAGGGCGAACCCACTCAGCAGTGAAACCCCCAGGCACTGGGTTGGAAATGAACTACGCAACTTTCGGGGGAGGAAAGTTGGGAGGGGAGAACTGGGAGAGAATGAGGGTGGGATGACACTAAGAGGAAATGGACTCACTACCCGACTCAGAACTGAAAGCCCACTGTACATCACCTTTACAATGAAAAAAGAGGAAGGGTACTCATTCATTCATGCATTTGTCCATTCATTCATTCCCCTGCTAGCCTCTTGCAGAGCCTACTTAGTGCTAGGAGGACAGGCCTTCCCGCTCTGTCTGTTCTCAGAAGGGACGTGAGAGGGTCCTGCGGAGGCAGGAAAGGCCCAGTGAAGTTTCATCAGTGAGCATGAGCTCATGATTCCCTCCCGGCTCAGTAATCTCAGCTCAGTGGCCACAGGTAGCAAGAGCAGGACCCTGCTGAAGGTAAAATTGGAGAAATGAGAAATCATCGGCAAATCTGGCCTAACAGAGTTAAATCATTGAAAAAAAAATGGCCAGAATTGGCACATGTGATTCGCTTTCAGAGCAGCGCCCCCTGTGTTCAAGTACTATTCTAGATGGTAGGGAAGGAGCCATAATAGAGTAAACACCTGGCCCCCAAAATCAATGACAGCTTTGAATATCACGACTTGGTTTGAAAGTGGACGGTGAGGTAGAGGAGGTTGTGAAAGGAGCTGGTGTTCTTTCTCAGCTAAATTGCCACACATGCTGGCAATTCCTGCGAGCGCAGGTTTTGTTTTGTGCGAGTCTCCTCATCTTCCTCCCACCTCCCTCTCCACCCTCAACAAGCTTCTTTGTTCCATTTTCATACTTGTACAGAAAGCACCCTCCTCCTCTCTGTCCATCCCCCACCCCACACCTTGTACCCACCCCCCAGACAGTACATGCTTCAACTTCTTAACATTCATATTTGAAAATGCAGGTTAACTGTTCACAGGGGCGTCACCATAAACTGTACTTTGATCAGGATGTATCTGTCCTCCTCATCTACTTCCACCCTCCCCAGCGCCCTCACCCATAGGACTCAACAGCTTTCAGAAGGTTCCTTTTTTCCAGCTTCATTCACCCATGAAGTATTTCAGTGCTGTTCACCCTCTAACGTTTTATTCCCCTTCTGATCCCTTCAAACATTCCCATGCTGCAAATAGGTATGTGTTAGACTATGAAATAGACATTGATATTGTATATAGGCCATGCGTATGTATGGGGACAGCAGTTATAGGCCATCACACCGAGGCATTGGTTGAGATGAAATCTTACAAACTCCTGTTTTGCTCTGGCTGGCTTCAAACCACAGTCCCCTGATTTCCAGCCCACAATGACAGGCTTGAGTGCTTGTACATGTCCTTGATCTTTTCTTTTTGTATCTGTCTCTTAGTAAAATTTGAGTTCCAAAAAGAAATTATTCATTCCAAACACTGATAATTGAAAAACATTAACGTGATTAATTTTTAACGTGGTTGATTTTTAACTTGTGATTCAGCCACAACTGACATTCTTTGACCATCCATTAACAGGGAATTTTATCGGTGAAAGACAATATCCATGGCAGTTACAATCATAATACACAACTACTCTAGGATGAGATCTAGATTTCAGTCCCAGCTCTGGTCTTAGCGATGAGGTCTTGACCAAGTTACTGAACCTCTCTAAGCCTCAGTGCCTTCACCTGGAAGACGGCAGTAATGAGGTGAGCATTAACTGAGACAATGCCGCGAGTTTGGCACACAGTAACCCCCAGTGTGTATTCCGAGGGCATTTTGTATTTTCTGGACTAAAGGGTTTGTGAGCTGCTTGGTTCTGTTCTCTGCGGTGCAATCAGAAGGCATAGCCCTTGCTCTCCGCAGTCTCCAGGCAGCGCTTTATAGCTTGCTTCACTCTCCGTCACTTATGTGCAAGCAGGTAACCATTAGCAAAGGAGAAACTGTGCTCCAGTGTTAGGAGTTGGCCTGCTGTTAGACCTAGTCAGTGTGTCTACTATTTTACTAGCAGCAAATCCTCAGTACAAAGTGCACCTAGTTTTGAATCTTTAAAAAACTAAATAAAAATGACCAACAGGTTTAGCTTTAAGCTACCTACAGGATGTGCTGAAGATATCTATAGGCTGGGCTGGGTGCTGGTGGCTCATGTCAGCTACCCAGGAGGCTGCAGTCTGAGGATCGGAATTTGAAGCCAAGTTGGGCAGAAACTCTGTAAGATTCCTGTTGTTAATTAACTACCAAAAAGTCAGGAGTGGAGCTGTGGCGCAGGTGGAGAGCATTACCCTTGAGCCTAAGAAGCTCAGGGATAGCGCTCAGGCCCTAAGTTCAAACCCCAGAACCAACACAAAATAGGGGGCAAAGAAGAAGGCATCTCTTACATAACTTTTGCAGGACAGAGCAACACTTATTAGCGCACCATGACTTAGAACTACAATGTGCAATTTTTTTTCTAAGTATAAATTTGAGAAGAAATCATCAAAGACTAAAGTAGGCATGATCACCCATACCATCCACGTTTGGCTCAAGTTGTCAAATGCCTGGCTAGCAAGCATAAGGCCCTGGCACCATCAGGGAAAAAAAAATGAAAGAACCAGAGACATAATCTTCTCAGGTTACCACAAGTAGGAGACAGAATGATGATCTGAACTAAAATATATGCAGCCCTGCATAGCCGGGGCTGTCTCCCCAGCCATCCTGAGAAATACCTACCCCAGCTGCTCCAAACTCCACTGCTTGTCACCACTGTGACTTGTTCACCGCCGCCTCGGAAACCTGAGTCTGCCAGCGCACGCCTCCTTCTTCAGTGCTACTCTACAGCTCGAACAGACGTCAGCTGTCATACTTAGAACATGTCTTGACTCTACTTCTCCAAGAAGAATGATGTCAGGAAAAGGCCCTGGTGATCGAGTCTGCTTTAAATCAAGTGGGGGAGGGCGCTGGGGAGGGTGGGAGTAGATGAGGAGGACAGACACATCCTGGTCAAAGTACAGTTTATGGTGACGCCCCTGTGAACAGTTAACCTGCATTTTCAAATATGAATGTTAAGAAGTTGAAGCATGTACTGTCTGGGGGCAGGTACAAGGTATGGGGTGGGGGGTGGACAGAGCAAAGGAGGGTGCTTTCTGTACAAGTATGAAAATGGAACAAGGAAGCTTGTTGAGGGTGGAGAGGGAGTTGGGAGGAAGGATGGGGGAGATACAAAACAAAAAGGGAATACCAGTCCCGAGGATCACATACGACAGTGCAGTACAAAAGTTCTGACAAAAAAGACTGGTTCTGAACTTGGCAGTTAGGACGGGAAACAAAGGAGTACCCCTGATACTGGGAGATAAAGTGACTGTGAGTTGGTACCACCCGCATACTGACTGGATTCCCGACACCACCGGCATAATGACTGGATTCCCGACACCAGGCGTCCGGCTCTATTCTCATTGCTATTGCAGAGCGCATGAGTTGGGCGTTTTTTTAAATTATTGTAAAGCTGACGTACAGAGGGGTGACAGTTACCTAAGCCAGGTAGTGAGTACCCCTCTTTCTGAACAGTGTCACCTGCTCACTCATTTTCTCCCAGTTTTCCCCCTTCCCACCCTCCTGCCCCCAAGTCGTTTAGTTTATTTTCAGCATGGCATTCAGTGAGTATCACGGCGGAAGAGGTAAGCAATCTGCAAGGAAAGTTTATTCGGTTTTCACAATCGAAGGGCATGGTGGGGAGAGCTTTGTGCAGAGTGGAATGTAAGGACAAGTAAATACATCAGGAGGGGACCAAAGCGGAGCAGGTCAGTTTTACAACCATCTGCTTGTGATAAGGAATCCAGCATTTGGTCCGTCTGTGAGGACTGGACTCCCAGGACCCAGACACCTCCTGTTAAAAGCTCCCCACTTCCAACACCGCATAGATTTCAGGGGGTGTACCCAGAGCACAGCAGCACTAGGCGAGGGGAGATTTTATCATGCAGTTTGCTTGGCACCAATTTAAGGAAGAGTGAGGATTTATAGATAAGTAGAAGAGAGGCAACGAGGACAGGTGCTCCCCAAGCTAGCAAGTAATGGGGCTTGGGGGAGCCGGGGACGATTCGCGTTTTTAAAGGTTTCAGGGTCCTGTCCCACTGGGTCAGGATAGCCTTTCTGGCTCCATTCCATTTCCCAGGGCCCATTAGGCGGTATTGATAAGGGGTACATGGTCCAAAGAAAACTTCCCAGGCGAGTCTGGGATCCGTGAGGAACAGAAACGGGATGTTGGGTTTCGAGCCAAGGCATGTGGCAATGTCATCCATGTAATAAATGTAGTCGGTCTTTCTTTGAGCGGGATCTTTAATCACAGCCCTGTGAAGAAATAAAGAAGATGGCGGCATTTCATTAATTTTTCCATGCCCATTGTTTCTCAAGTTCCAAGACCCACACCTCCTCTTACTCTTTTGTTACTCCCTTTTCAAAAGAAAACTGTTTTGGGCATGTGTTTTTCTCTGTTGGAAAGGCAAAGTAAAAGAAGCTTATATAACCAAGGGTATCTTTAGCGGAAATTTGTTGAAAGATGGGCTAAATGGAGGTATTTTGAAGAGAGGCCTTCCTGAATTTGATAGGAATTTGGTTAGTCCAAATGACAGAATCGATGATGAATAAACAGGACCAGAGAGCCTCACATGTATGGATGGACATGTATTTTTGTTGTTGTTGATATCAGTTGTGGATTGAGAGGACTACATGTGGATCCAAGGATTGAACTTGACCTTAACGTGACCATAGTGTGTGTGGGAAACCTTTATTTATGAATACTTCTGTTGGTATTTGTTCATGATGTCCCAGTGTCATTACATACATAAATAAGCACATAAATAAATACAACATGAAATACACAAAACATTCCAGCCTGAGAAATGATAAGCCGGCAGGACAGAGTCAGTTTCTGGAGGCGAAGTGAAGATGGCTGCGCTGTAAAGGACCGGGCTCTCGAGTCTCTCTCTGCACACCGGGTTCTCCTCCCCTCCCCCATGTGTCTGGGGCCACATGTTTAGTTGGAGGCAGAGTTGGAGCTAAAAATATCTCCCTCTGATGCACAGTGCAGTTATTTCTGCATCTTTAGAATGCTTCATAGCATCTACACTGAGATTCCCTGATCGTGGTGGTGATCTTTCAACGGAACTGATTGCTGGGCTTCCCCTCTCACCAGTGATAGATTGTACCTCTCAATGAGCTGCTCCTTTTTCCTGGCCTCGGCCATTAATTTCTGGGGTGGAGGTAGCTTGCAGAGGCCTATGAGAAAAATCAGAAGCAACATTTAAGTCAAACGTAATGGCTTTTTATATAAAGAAATAAGTTAAGCTTGTTTTCCTCTCATTTCTAGCCTCCCACTGCCCCACCCTCAGAGCACGTGAAAGCCAGAGCCAAGAATGAAATCCACGTGCGTAAGTAGTTTCGCTCCTAACTCAGCTCACCAGGGAGTTCTCACGGCCTAGGACTCAGCTTGCACCATTTATGTCCGACATCACTTCCTGTGTCTCCCCTCCCTCCCTCACCACACAGCCTATTTTTTCTTGTTCACATACAGTACTATACTGATGTGTCTTGTGACCATTAGCAGCAGCTTAAGTGGAAACGCGCGAAACTCTGCCTGGGTCCCGGCCAGCTTCGCTCCGGGGGGAGTCTCAGTCCCTGGCACAGAGGTAGGTGTGTCTACTGGAATGGCTGTGAGGACTCGGGTTCTCAGTCTCCAGCTGAGACCCTCGGCCCTCGCCTCTGCTCCTACTCATTCTGAATTCCCTGCCCGCTGTTGTCCTGGCAGCCTGGTCTCTGGCCATTCTCGGCAGTTGTCCGGCTGCCCAGAGTCTGAAATCCCAGGTTGATACCTTGTGTTCTTTCCCCCCCCTCCTTTGCATTTCTAGTGTCACTCCACCCCCCCGGCCCCCTTAAGGGGCCCCAGTCCAGCCTGTCCACCCTCCCATTCTGGGCAGGACGGCATCTGCCAGGCGCCCCGTGCCAACCCTGGGTGTAGGTTTGCTGTCCAGCAGTTACTGACCTAGCGCAACACTGAGCTGAACTTTCTGCAGGCCTTGCGTTGATTGATCTGTGAAAACCTAGTCAGCCCTGGCGCTTTCCTGCTTGGCTCTCTGAAGCTGTGGGGAGGGCCACGGCAACTTGGCTGATGGGATCTGTCTAGTAGAGTTCTGTCTGTATCAGCTTTACTATCCTAATAAGTATCTTCAACCTCATTAGAAAATACTTAGAAAAACCCTACAATACTAAAGGCTCTAATATAATTGGATAGTGTGTTAATTGGCCTTTAAGAGCACACAGTTGTAATAATTTAACGAAGGACCAGGATTTTCTCCCTCCTCTAAATAAAATAATGATTTCCTAAGCAATTTCTTTCCCCTCCCTGACTCAATTAACATGTTGGCCAACTTCGGAGGACATAAGGTTTTAAATACGGTCAGTAACTGTTACAGTCACACTGTGGAGTAGCTGTCAGCACCCATTCATACTGTGCTAGGTACTGCTTATAAATGATTGGGAATTGATTTCACTCAGTAAAGAGAGCTGCTTGGCTGAAACGTGAGTGCTGCTTATATTGAGACACAATATAACTGTGGATCTTTAAAGCATGCTCTAATCTAAACCTTACCCTGCTTTCGAACAGAAGATAGGAATGACGATGACTGAGAGCAATGGTGCTGAATGCTTGTACTGTCTGTCAAATACTCTGCTAATTCTCTTTCAGACATTATTTATTAAAAAAGAATCCTAGAGACAAAGGGTTTGTTATGCTCATTTTTTTCAAATGGGAGACCAGGGCTGAGATGTAAAGAAGCCCTCACAAAGGGAGTGAGTTTCACGGCTGGGGCCAACCAGCCATGACGCCAGCAACCTCTGGCCTCTGTGCTCCTGGGGTTATGACAAGCGAGTGTGGTAACAGCATTGCTTCCAGGGTCTAAAGTGCTTTGATGTCACCTACATTTATGTATTTGGTGGCCTTGGGGATTGATCTCAGGGTTTTATGCTTCCTAGGCATGATGTGAGCTGCATCTCCAGTCTTTTTTTGCTGTTTTTTGTATCTATGCATGCATGCATGTATGTGTATGTATGTGTGCATGCAGGCATACATGCATGTGTATGTATGTATGTGTGCACGCATGCATGTATGTGTATGCATGTGCGCATGCACACATACATGTATGTGTATGTATGCATGTATGCACGCATGCATGTATGTATGTGTATGCATGCATGTGTTACCAGCTCAGGCCAGCCTGAGCAGCAGTCCTCATTTGTACCTGACAGGCCTGCGCTACTGTATCCCGTGTGTCTGGCCGGAGGGGTTCTCCTGAGTGATTCTTGCCGGGGCTGCACTAGAGCTGCCGTCTTCCAGATCTTAACCTTCTACATACCTGTGATGAGAGGTGCGTGCTGCTATGCGCAGCTGTTGGTTAAGTAGGAGCCCCATTAACTTTTTGCCTGGACTGGCCTTGAAGCATGGCTTTCCTGATCTCTGTCTCCTGACTGGGATTGTACGTGTGAGCCACTGGCTCGGTCTTCCATGAGCATGTCTTAAAGGTTATTCTCTCTTCTCTCAGTTTTTATTCATAGTATGAATACTATCTTTCTTTGCAAACAGTATAAAATTCTATTTCTGATCATTGATGAAAAGACTAACAAATAATTAGACTGGACTAGAGCAGAAAAAGATCTAAAAAACTTGATTACACTCTGTTGTCTAAATTTGTCTCATTCACAGTCAAATCTTTCCCACTCAGGTGGAATGACATAGTATGCCCATTGTGATACTACACACATATACAATTAATTGCTTGTTATGTTCTTTTAAGACTTCCTGTTATCTTAGCTCATAGCTGTTTGGTTGTAGCTGATGCTAAGTGGCAAGCCGGCAATGGAGCCCTGGGCCTCACATACGCCAGGCAAAATCTCTGTGACAGAGACGCTGTAAAGAGTCCACTGATTTTAAGATTCAGTTGACCATGTTTGGCTTTAGATAGCGCAACGATTCCTTTGAACACTCTTGTAGCCCACCGGGCCTGCAGCTCTGTGCCTGCGAGGATGGACCCACTAAGGCTGATATGGCCAATGATGGCGAGCGTGGCTCTCTCCAGGTCTGAGGGAAAGACTTGCTTGTATAAGAAGGCCCTCTTTGTGCAAAGGCTCCTCAGAGGTTCTTCAAAAAAGGGGAAAGAAGATATGTATCCAGTAGTGAAGATCGATGTTGGCTTCGACTGTCCCATCTTCAAAGACAACAGAGGTTTCTGTAAAATCCTTCACGCTGGTTTTCATAGTGACCGTCCCACAGAGGAGGCAGGCTGGAAGCTCATCATTCACAATAAATTTCGGAGTTTTTCTTAGACACAAGAGAAAAAATATTCACTGTACTTATATCTTTGAGACCCTCCAGCAAACGTTTTATCCGGTCAGTTGAAGGAAATTATCTGCCAACCCAAGGAAGTGAATTGACCTGCATTGAATTCAAGGCTGTCTCCATGACTGTATGTTCAGAACTTGTTTTGATTCCTTACTTTCAGTAGAAGACATGTGGAAAATAACTAAGCCTACACTTTTCCTGACTCCATCTACAGTTATCTGTCTCCTGGAATTCCTCCCTCCCTCCCTCCCTCCCTCCCTCCCTCCCTCCCTTCCTCCCTCCTTCTCTCTCTCTCTTCTCTTTCCTTCCTTCCTTCCTGTCAAGCACAAAGCACATAATAAACGATCTGGGATCAAATGGTTTTCTTTCACCCAGGCTCTCAGGAATGACATTAAACCAAGAGAAAATTTGCAAGAAACTATTTGACTAAAAACAAAAGCATGAATCTAGATAGACTGTTAAGTAAAGTTGTTTTGAATACCTCATTCTACCTATCATTTCAAACATTGTCTATAAAATTGACAAGAAATCTTTTGGTATTTTTAATAATTTGAAATATAGTTTGTTAATGAATAAAGCATAATAAACTACATCTAATGACATTTCATGCAATTCAAAACTTTTCTTTTTCTGGCCCATATGTGACTCTATACAGAGAGGTATTAAAATATATAATTTCAAAGATCTCTACTATATATTCATATATTTAATCACTCAGTCAGGGTAGACAGTTATTTATTATTTTAGCTCAGGGTAACTTTTCTACCAGAATGATGCCTGCTTTGTGTTAGAGAAGAAACTTCTTTAGTCAGCACTAGTTTCGTAAAAAGTAACTAGTGGGAGAGGAGCTAGGGACCTTTGTCCTCTGAGTGTACCCTGATCCCTAAAAAAAAAAAAAAAGGAGTGGCGTCTACACACAGCAGGGCTGCCGACGTGGTCTTTGTGTGTGTGTGTGTGTGTGTGTGTGTGTGTGTGTGTGTGTGTGAGCAGTTCTGAGAGTTCACAGCCAATTTAAATACTTGAAATTTCAAACTGGAGAGGGTAGCTATCATCCTTTCTCTTACTATTTTTGTTAGTGCACAGAGAATGCTTCCATATCAAGAGCTGCTGTGGAACTTAATGGACGCTGTCTCAGGGATATGTTTATAACAGCATAAAGAGCGCCAATGTCCAGTTGGGTGCCAATGGCTCACACCTGTGATCCTAGCTATTCAGGAGGCTAAGATCTAAGGATCAGAGTTCGAAGCCAGCCCAGGAAGAAAAATCCCTGTGAGACTCTTACCTCAAAGCCCTGAAATGGAGCTGTGGCTCAAAATGATAGAGCAATAGTCTTAAGCAAAGGAGCTCAGGGACAGTGCCCAAGCCTTGAGTTCAACTCCCATGACTGAACCAATCCCCCCCATAGTTATGAGACATTTTGAATTCTTAAAACTGTAGAATGAGAAATACTGATGTCAGAATACCCCCTGAGGAATGAAAAATCAAAACCACAGTGAGATACCATCTTACCCCTGTTAGCTTGGCTATTACAAGAAAGCAATAAAAATGCTGGCAGAGGTAATGGAGAAAAAGGAACAAATCACTGATATAGCACAGCCATTATGGAAAACAGTATAGTCTCCTTGAAAACAAAACAAAACTGAGAAAAAGCCAGGTGTGGTGGCTCACAGCTATAATCCTAGCTACTTGAGCCTGAGAATGGGAAGGGAATGGTTCAAGGCCAACCTGGACAGAAAGTTCTCATCCCATATCTCTATGCAGAAGTCACCCCAGCCATCTCAAGCCACACGGAGGCTGAGATTGGGAGGCTTGTAGTTCTGAGTCAGTCTGGGCAGAGAAGTCCCCTAGACTGTCTCCACGGAAGGGAAGGTGGACTGACGGTCAGGCGCATGCCTGGGTGGGAGGTGAGACCCATCATCAGAAAAAAGCAGACCGGAGGTGTGGTTCAGCAATATCCCACCATCCGAGCAAGCATGAGGCCCTGAGTTCAAACCCCAGCACCATCAAAACGAGAAAAGGAAAAAAAAAAAGAATAGATCTACCATTTAATCCATTTATCCCACTTCTGAGACTATAGCCAAAGGATATGAAATTGGCCTGGCCATGTTTATGGAAGTACTAGTCACAGTAGCTGGCATAGAGAATTAACTTGGGTGCCTATCAACGGGTAACTGGATAAAGAAAACGTGGTATTTATATACATGGTGGAGTATTATTCAGCTATCAAGAAGAATGACGTCTTGTGAAGCAAGATGGATGGACTTGGAGGACATTGGGTAAGCCAAGCTAGACACAGAAGGCAAGTACTGCGTGTTCTCTCTCAGACGTGAGGCTGAAAGGAAGTAGTGACCATCAGAGATTAGGAAGAGTATAGGAGGGATAGGCGTAGGAAAGATGATGCTGGAGTTGACCAGTGCATGCTACATGCATGTGTGGAACCTCATTAATATGTACAATTAACACAGAAGAAAAACATGAAGAAAATAAGTAGGGCTGAGGGTGTAGCTCACTGGAGGAGTACTTGTGTACCTTGCACAAGACCGTGGCTTCCACCTCCAGCAGTGCAAATCAACCAACCCACCGAGCAAGCAATAAAAAAAGTTCATGACATGAACAGAAATTACCCTTCTGCAATACTTAATCCATAATCTTCATGGTTAAATCTTCTGTTCATCTTTCTCTCCTGCATCCAGCTGAGGATGGACGCAGGCATCGTTTTCTTGGTGAAGGACTGCCACCTCGTAGGGGTCATATTTGTAGGGTAACCCCAGTCTGAGATGCGGCTGATGACCCACATGCCGGTTGTCATGCTGAGGAGCACCTGAGAAGGAAGTCGGGAGAGGAGCAGGCCTGCCCGCCATTTGTCTCCAGGATGTGTTCACGTGTTTCAAAGGCTAACGTTCCGCCTCAGAACAGCGAATGGTGAATTTGTGCCTAGATGGACATAGGGACTGTGTGTTCCTGTACTTGGCACTGTTCTAAAGAGGCGTGTCGCCTGATGGAGATGTGTTAAGAGTGTTCTTTGCATTTATAGGATTAGAACAATAGAATTTAATATGTGTAAGCGAACAATCGTTCATTTGTAATACAGAATTTCAAGTGAAGGCTCAGAAGGATGGGTTTAACTGAATGAAATATAAATGCATTCTTTGTAGATCTAACTGCTTTCCTACAGTTTATGCTAAAATGGAATAGATTTTTAATTGGTGAGTCTACATTTGGCCTTTTCTAAAATCATATATACTTGGTGCATTAGGGATTTTTTTGTCCTTAAATAAGTGCAAATCTGATTTCTAAGACAACACTGTGAGACAATTGGGAAACAACTTCCCATTTCTATTCTTACACAGGGTATTTCCCAGAATTGCAAAGACAGTGTATGCTGTAGCTAACACCTAATTCTAGGACTGGTGAGGCCTGGACAAGAAATGCATGAATTTGAGGTTGGCTTAGGAGAGGTGAGTGGGGGAGAGAGGGGGAGAGGAAGGGGGAGGAGGAGAGGGAGGGGGAGGAGGAGAGGGAGAGAGAGGAGGAAGGGAGAGAGAGGGAAGGGGAGGGAGAGAGGAAGGGGAAGGAAGAGGTGGGAAGGGGAAGGGGAAGGGGAAGAAGGAGGAGGAGGAGAAGAGGGAGGGATGGAAGGGAAGGGAAGGAGAGGGGGGGAGGAAGGGGAAATTGCCCTTTGTGGGACATCTGGCCTTGTCCTGAAATCTGTGGTGTCATTTGGCATTCACATGATTTCCCCTGGTTGCTTTTTGGAGATGCTTCTGTAAGGTGTGGCCTTTTAAGTAGTCCACAGACTTAGGAGCGGCCCTGAGTCTTTCTAGGGAGCTTTCAGTGTCACTGAGCAAGCAGGGGATGGGCAGGGGTGGCCGGACCTCCTCAGGAGTGGTGTACCTGGGCTGCCAGGTCCCCTCCAGTGTTGCCAAGACCCATCAGTAAGACACGTTTGCCCTGAAAGGCGTCGGGGGTCCTGTACTCCTGACTGTGTAGGATCTGTCCTTTGAAGTCACGGATTCCTGGGGAGGAAGAAAAGACCAGTCTGAAGCCTCCTCCAATGCACCAACTGTCTTGCAGGAAAGGGACGTCCTGGAAATACGGCGGCCTTTCCTTCTGGAAGGAGTATATACAAACAGCACGAGGTGCTTCTCTTTCCTGGGGCTTGGCGAGCATTCTAGAATAGCCCAGCAAAGGCTCACAAGACCTCATTCTGATTAATAAACAGCGGTGCAGGGAGCTGGGAGCTGGTGGTGCTCACCTGTGATCCTCGCTACCCAGGAGGCTGAGATCTGAGGATCTCCGTTTGAAGCCAGTCTGGGCAGGGACGTCCAGGAGGCTCTTATCTCCAATGAAGGTGAAGGTGTGGCTTAAGTGGTGGAGCAAAAGTCTTGAGTGAAAAAGCTCAGGGACAGCGAGCGCTCAGGCCCTGAGTTCCAGCCCCAGGACCAGCGTGCGTGCGCTCACACACACACACGCACACACACACACACACACGCACACACACATGCACACACACACACACACGCACACACATACACACACACGCACACACACACACACACACTGTGCAGGGTAGCATGTGCCTGTCAGCCCATGAGGATCATAATCCAGGTCAGCATAAGGAAAGAACCTTCTTGAATAAATAGAGTTAAAAGGCTGGGCCGTGCTGCACATGACAGAATGCCTGTCCGCCTAGCAAATGTAGGTCCCAATCCAAGCCTCAGTACTGCACACAATGTGGTTAAAATATCCACACTACAGCAACCTGCGCATCTTACATACACTCCCTATCAAAATGCCAATGACATTGTTCACAGAACTAGGGGGGAAAACTCCTAAAACGCATATGGAACAACAGCAATCCTAAAAGAGTCAAAGTAATTTTAAGGTTAAAAAAAATAGGTGGGAGCAAATATACGGCAAAGATGACGAGTCATCAAAACAGCATAACATTATTAAAAAACCCAGATGAAAACCAGTGGAACACAACAGAATCTAGCTGTCGACCCGCATAGTTACAGTGTGAGAAACACACATCTCATCAATGCTTTGTTCTAGGAAAATTGATATTCACATGCAGAAGAATAAAGCCAGAATGAAACTTACCCTGTGCAAAACAACTCAGAATCAATTAAGGAATTTAATGTAGGAACTGAAACTATGAAACTATTGGAAGAAACATAGATGAAGTTGTTTTGGATAGATCCCAAAAGCACAAGTAACAAAAGTCAACGGGATTGCATCAAATTACAAAGCAGTCTGTGGAATAGCAGGAAATAGTTGCAAATTACACATCTGATCAGGAGCTAACATTCAGAATATATAAGAAACTCGATAGACAAAAAAAATAAAGAAGTCTGGTTATTTTTTAAAAAATGGCAACACACCGAAACAGACCTCTCTCCAGTGAAGACATGATAATGAACTGGCTAATAGATACATAAAAGATGCTTAAAATCACTAAACATCATAGAAATGCATCTCAGACCACAGTGAAATATTTTGCTGCAGTTAGAGTGACTATTACTCTTTTTTTTTTTTTTTTGGGTCCGGTCATGGGCCTGAACTCTGGGCCTGGGTGCTGTCCTTCAGCTCTTCAGCTCAAGGCTAGCGCTCTACCACTTGAGCCACAGCGCCACTTCCAGCTTTTTTCTTTTTTCTTATGTGGTGCTGAGGAATCGAACCCAGGGCCTCATGCATGCAAGGCAAGCGCTCTACCACTGAGCCACCTTCCCAGCCCCTGACTATTACTTTTGTAAAAAATTTAAAATGAAAAGAAATCCTGGTTCTAGAGAGGATGTGGAGAGAGTAGAGCCCTTACACACTGTTGATGGGAAAGTAAATTTGTGTAGAAATTATTTAAAGCAGTATGGAGGTTTCTCGGAAATTTAAAAATAGATCTACCATTTGATCCAGCAATCACACTACTGGGCGTGTATCCAAAGGAAATGAAGTCAATATGTTGAAGAGACACGGACACTCCCATGTTTTACTACAGCACTACTCACAAGAGCTGACAAACATAAACAATCTAAATGTTTGTTGATTGATAAGTGAATAAAGAAAATATGGTATAGACACACATGCAGTGGAATACTATTCAGCCAAAAAAAGATGATGAACTCTTGTTATTTGAGGAAACACAGATGGAAGAGGGGTTTATGTCTCCTGAAGTACGCCAGGCACAAAAAGACCAACACCATTTAGTAGAGTTCGTATGTGGAATCTAAAAGAGCTGATCTCAGAATCTGGGAGTAGAACAGTGTTTACTAGAACCGAGGAGATCATGCAGGAGGCTTGAGGAAAGGTGGATCTTGCCAGATAAGAGAAATAACTTAAGATATTCTTAAGCACAGGAGTTGACCGCAGATAACAGTAATGTACTTTATATTTCAGAAAAGCTAGAAGAAAGGCCATTGAGTACTTTAACACAAAGAACTGACAAAAAGTTGCAGGATTTGCATTTCTTTTATGGCTAGGGATGTTGAACATTTCTTCATGTGTCTATTGGCCATCCTTCTTTCTTCTTCAGAGAAGTTTCTCTTTAAG